TTCTAAATAATTTTTTCTATTCTAAAAACAACTTGACTATCTGATAAAGATGTTTCTTCAATTTTCACGATGGATAAAAGAAAAAATTTAAATTATTGTATAATTGTAGAAATAATTTTGACAAAATAAAACCAGACACTATGACGAAGATGTAACATTGAATTTGTTCGTTTGACTTTCGTGATATATTTGGACGAAAGGAGAAATTCAGAGAGGGAGCTTTTCTTCTAAGGAAAACCTGACACTATGATGAAGATGCAACATTGTTTAACTTTCGCGATATTGGATGAAAGAACAAATTTAAACTTGTTGCACAACGATAGAAATAAATACCATAATTTTGACAAAGATTCTAAGTAGAATTAGACGCTGTATAGAATTTGTTTACTTCACTTTCCAGACATATAAGAAATTTAAACTCGTACAAATGATAGAGATAAATACAACCACCATAATTTTAGATTGTAAATTCAAGTAAAGCTTGATACGATACGAAGATGTAATCTAATTGAATCTCTTTCTTTCTTCTTTTTTCCCTTTGTATAAAACTTCCGTTTAAAATTTTTACAAATTTTTATAAATTAGATTGGAAGAGCTAGTTTCGTTCTTTCGAAACTGCGCGAAATGAAACGCTATAAAGAGAGGTATTAGATATTAGAAAGGGAAGATTGTTCTCCCTGAAAATAGAAGGCACAATAGGTGATAGAATCTCTTTGTCCCTGAAAAGTGGGAAACGATGTTGGCGGAATGCCAACAAAAAAGGAAGATAATTACACTTCTTTCTGTGTGACGCGGTTAAAACGAAAGAGATGTGCCCAAAACGAGTAATTGGATGTAGAGGTGAAAAAAAGAGAGAAAAAAAAGAAAGAAAGGAGGAACAGATCGAAATGCGAGGATCATATTGGCATCAATTTTTTCTCCTCTTCTTCAACGCTCTAAAAATTATTAGAGTAATTTTAATAGGATAAAATTCCAGATGAAAGATGAATAAAAATTATTAGAATAATCTTAATGGAATAAAATTCCAAATGAAAGATAAATAAAAGTATCATTGGGACTTGAGCTCAAAGCAAAAAAAAGGATTGCAACAAACGAACATTTTTTTAGAGAAAATTTCGTGCTTCGTAATTTCTTTAGCTCTAAACTTGTTGCTATATTTTTACGAAACTTGGAATTTGAATTTTGACATTTCTTTTTCTGTTCGAGAAAAAAAATTCTCTAACGAAAGTTCGAAAGAGGAATCTTTTGATCCAGAATCGAGAATTTCTGATGAAACTTGTATTTGGAAACTTTATATTACTTTAATCCAATAAAATGAGAAGAAGAATTCGCGCGACTCGCATACTGTATCTATATTAAAAATTCTTCTTAGTTTCTTGAATATATGAGAGTATACTTTTCTTGAGAAAAGAATATTTTAACTCTAAATCTTAAAATTCGCATGTTATATGTTCCCTTTGTTTAATTAATTACGATTTTTCACTTAATATAAATTATTTCATTAAACGAAAAATCAATTTACATAGATTACTACAACGTAAATTATTATATAAACTTTGAAAAGTTGCAAGAAAACTTGTGAACGTACAAAAAAATGGTTACAATAAAATATCCTCGTTCGTACGGTTGACTCTTTGAGGAAAATGTCGATTCACTGCAGGAAACGTGAACAAATGGAATCGATTCTCCAAAGAAACCCTAGAAACTCCCCATAAACTTTTACGAGTGTGAACAAAAATAGCCAATACGTAAGAAACTCGGGTATAAACTTCCCCTTGTACAAAGCTTCCCCTTTTGTTTCCCTTTCAATGCGTCTAACTTGTCGATTCGAGTTTTTCTCGAACGAAGACTTTATTACGTAAGCAGTCGGCCAACACGAAAGTCGCCAAGGAACCGTGATTGGTGAATATTTTTCGATTCAGGGAAAATTTATCCACAAATTTCCACGATATCTTTCAACTTTTGGTTGTTGCCAGTACTCGCTCGCGCCATCATGCGGTGAGATTTTGAAACAGACGAGGAGAGAGAAATATTGAATTTTATCGAAACGAATTACACGATTAATTCGTGTGATGAATTCCTGTATCGTGTTAATTAAGGTGAATATTATATCCTATCCCAGAAATTTAATGATTAAAATTGGGGAAATTAGAGTGTATTTCCATATTAACATTCTATTAACTTTTTAAATATTTTCATCGTATTAATATTATTTCGTTTTGAAATTCATGTCGTGTGATTATTTATACACGAATCGATTAAAATCGGTTAAAAATACGGTAAAATTAATATCTCATCAGCCAGAACATTCCCATATTGCTTTTCTTCTTACGAACAAAAAAGCTCGAGTTATCGTTATATAGGCTAACGTGTTATTCGGATATTCCTTTAACAAAGGGTTTCTTTTACATTTTTTCACGAATCAGTAACATCTCAATGCCAATAATCCATCGTAATATTTCGTAATATTCGACTAAAGTTTCCAATTATTATAAGATAATCCAAAAAAGAAATTCTTTCGCTACACAATATCGTTCGTCATGCAACGAAACTTGAATTCGCAATTTAATTGGCCCGTTTGTAATCCAATTACAAGCTTTTCTCATTCGATCACCTTCCATACGTAAACACGTATAAACATTTCTCACTGTTTATCCATGATAAATCATCCGAAATGCCATCGAAATGACATCTTGTCGTATCACGCGCAAATTATCCCTCCATGCTGCATTACTCGTTCGCAACTCAGTGAGATACAAGTCAGTACGGGTCCAGGTTGACGCTAAAGCAAACAACAGTTGTGCCCAGTTATTGCTTCCCTTGTCAGCTGGCAAATTCCAGGGGCATAATTACAATCCCTCGAGCCTCGATTTGCCCTCTATCGTTTCTCCAAATTCAAAATTTATTCCACGAGAATCTAATTAATTAATTAATCGATAATTGCTCGACGTGCAAACGTCGTTTTAACGATTAACCGTTTGAACGATGTTAATTTGATACGTTTCGATAGGGAAGTGGGCCTAATCAACCTTGAAATTTTCTTTCGTCTCGACGTTTTAAACGAAAAGTTTTGATCGACGCGTGTTATCGATGTTTGAGGAGGGAAGAACATTGAAGGACGGCCAATAATGATTCCCGCTTAATCGTCCACCGTTTAATCCCTTCGAGTTTAATCTTCTTATACGATGCTTCTTATAAGATTGATAGAGGTTAATTTCCAACTTTCGGGTAGATTTCTTCTTTTTTTTTTTTTTAAATACAGGATTGAGGAGATTGATCGATTCGTTAAATCGAAGTTTATTAAATGGAGAATAAATGTGTATATTTATCGTTTCGTTCGTATTAATGATCGAAGTATGAATTAAATTTTGGGTTGAAGGATTTCAAAAAATTCGAATCATGTGTTCACTTTAATGATTCAAGTATGAATTAAATTTCGGATTAAAGGATTTCAAAGTTGGATCTTTTTTTCAAAAAATTCGACTATGTTCGCATTAATGATCAAAGTATAAATTAAATTTTGGATCGAAGGATTTTAAACTTGGATTACTTTTCAAGAAATTCAACAACTATGTGTTTCGATTCAAGAAAATTTATCGTTTCATTCACATTAATGATCGAAGTATGAATTAAATTTTGGATCGAAGACTTTTAAAATTGGATTATTTTTCAAGAAATTCAACAACTGTGTTTCGATTCAAGAAAATTTATCGTTTTATTCACATTAATGATCGAATTAAATTTTGGACCGAAGGATTTTAAAGTTGGATCTTTTTTCAAAAAATTCGACAATATTTGAATTCGAATGATCGAAGTATAAATTAAATTTCGGATCGAAGACTTTTAAAGTTGGATTATTTTTCAAAAAATTCGACAATCATATATTCACATTAATGATCGAAATTTTCAATTGAAGGATTTTAAAGTTGT